GAGCTTCGAGACGGCGACCGCCGAACGCGGTTGCCGCGGCGCCCGCTTGCCGTCCATCGACTGCCGATCGGGCGCGTAGAACGCGGCGGCCTCGATATCGGATTCGAGGTTGTAGACCACCTGTACGAGTCGTCGCTGGGCGTCCGGCTCGTCCGAGAACGCCCCACCAACCACCTTGAGCAACGCCGGCATATAAAGCGGATGAGCTTGCGACAGCCCGCCGCCGATCACCACGATACCGTCGAGCACGGTGACAAGGTTCGCGATCGCGTCGCCAAGCGTGCGGCCCATCTGGGCGTACGCCTCACGGGCGGCGCCCGCATCGCCCGCTAGTTCGCCCGTTGCAATCTTGGCGATGTCGTGCGGCGTGCGGTGGGCGGCTTCCGGGTCGCTGGCCGAAGTCGCGTAGGCGCGGGTCACCGCGCGGATGCTGACGCCCTCTTCGGCATTGACGCCGGGTCGGAAGCCATGCCGCAAGAGCCAGACCTCACCCGCCAGGCCGTTGTCGCCGCGGAGCAGCTTGCCATCCAATACGATGCCGCCGCCAAAGCCGGTGCCCAGCGTCAGGCCGATCAAGTTGCGATAACGCCGATCGCTGCCCACCTGCTCCAGCTTCGCGTTGATCTCTGGCAAGCGGCCAAACGCCGCCTCGCCGAGCGCAAATAGGTCGCCGTCGTTGTTGATCAGCACCGGCACGCCGAAACGATCGCCGAGCAGATCGCCGAGCGGCACACCGTCGGCGTAAGCGGGTAGGTTGCCGATGTTGTAGATCACCCCGTTGGCGTAATCCGCCGGCCCGGGAAAGGCGAAGCTGATCGCCGCCGCGCCGCCGCCGGCCTCGGCCGCGACGCGCTCGAACCCCGCGTAGAGGTTTGCCAAGCTCCGCCTAAGATCGTTGGCTTCCGACGGCAGCACGCACGGCCCCGCCACACGCTGGCCGTCGCGCAGGGCGGCGAACGAGAAGTTCGTCCCGCCCGCGTCGAGCGTCAGCACCAGCGGTTTGTCCGAGACGGCGGTCATGTCGCTAGCCCCTTCGCGTTGAGGCGCCGCTGGCTCCACCAGCCGTACCAAGCGATGTAGACGTAGCTGATGATCGGGACAAAGAACGCCTCACGGATGCCGTAGTTGTCGGCGACCGCGCCCATGAGCAACGGGAAGAGCGCGCCGCCAACGATCATCATCACCAGCAGCGACGACCCCTGCGAGGTGTGCTCGCCGAGGTCGTCGATCGCCAGCGTGAAGATGTTCGACCACATGATCGAGTTGAACAGTCCGGCGCCGAGCGCCGCCCAGAGGGCGACCTTGCCAGTCGCCACGCCGGACGCGACAAGCAAAGCCACGATCGCCATGCCGAAGACGCCGAGGATCGTCCCGGGCTTGCCCTTGCCGATACCAAACGCCGCGAGGCACAACGCGATTAGGATCGAGAAGGGGATCAACTCGGTGGGCTTCATGAACTCCATCTGCAACTGGCCTTCTTCGAATCGCACCGCCGTGGCGACGTAGATCAAACCCAGCAGCGCCGCGGCGGTAAGCACCATGTAGAGCGGCTTCTTCTGCGGAGCGATGGTCGTCGACATCGCCGTAGCGCCGCAGAGTCGACCGATCATCGCGCCGCCCCAGTAGTAGGCGAGATAGAGGCTGGCCACGCCCTCGGGCCATCCCATCACACTCTCGTGCGCCATAAAGCTCACCAAGAAGCTGCCGATCGCCACCTCGGCGCCAACGTAGAGGAAGATCGCCGCCATGCCGAAGCGGAGCTGTGGAAACGCTAATGCGTTGCCGGACTCGGCCGCTGCGCCGCCACCGATCGCCGGCAGCTTGCTGACGGCGATCACTATCGCCAGCGCGAGGAACATCCCCGCGTAGATCAAATAGGGCGTCTTGATGGCGTCTAGTGTCACCTCGCCACCCGTAGCGAAGATCTTGTAAAGCAACAGCCCGCCGGCAATAGGCGCTATCGTGGTGCCGAGTGAATTGAATCCCTGCGCTAGATTAAGCCGCGCCGAGGCGTTTTCAGGAGGCCCGAGGATAGCGGCGTAAGGATTCGCGGCGATCTGTAGGATCGTCACGCCGGTTGCTAACAGGAACAAGGCGCCGAGAAAGAACGGGTACGAAACGGCGCCCGCAGCGGGAGCAAATAGCGCACAACCTGCAGCGCAGATAACGAGCGACAACACGATCGCGCGTTGGTATCCGACACGATTGATGGGGTCACCGCTCGCCACCGAAATAAAGAAGTAGATCAGCGAGACAACGAAGAATGCCCCGAAGAACGCGAACTGCACCAAGCCCGACTGGAAGTACGTGAGCTTGAAGCTCTCCTTCAAGAACGGGATCAACACGTCGTTCATGCACGTGATGAAGCCCCAGAAGAAAAATAACAGCGTCACCGTCGCAAACGCGCCGGCGTTGGAGCCCGTGGCGCCCGTCGTGGGAGCCGTCGCGGGGCGGGTTTCGATGGCTCCTGCCATGAAGGTTTCCTGAGACGAGGGTTGGTTGGAGAAAGGTGGCGGCAGTCTACCTCACGGCGCCCAATCACCGAACGGGCGGTCTTCCTCGGCCGTCGCCCAGTCGCGGTTCGGCTCGGCCTGCATCTTGAGCGTCATCACGCCGCCTGCGGCGATCTCGCTGTGCTTGACCCATGAACGGCTGACGGGCTCGCCGTTCACCGTGATTGAGCCGACGTGGAGGTTGTCGTCCGAGTTGCCCGGCGCCTCGATCACAAAGTCCTT